TCCGGATGCTCCTGCGCCGACCTGAAAGCCCTTTATCGACCTCCCCGTTATGCCTCGTAGGATGAGGTTTACCGGGGAGGTCAATACAGGGCTTTCATGTCGGCAGGGGAGCGTCCAGACTGCCCCGATCTGCCGACAAAAAGCTGATCGGCTCAGCGCGGCAGCCATTTAAATTTAAATGAAGCCGCAATTATTTAAATCGCGGCTTCATTTCCCTTTGCCGAACAAACAAATCTACATGGCTCCGTCAACGGAGCCATGTAGTTTAGACGTACCCAAAGTGTATTGGAGCAGCTTCTTCTAACATTTTCCTCACTCACAGATAACGGTGAAAGAAGACTATAGTGAAAGCTCAGCGCGGCAGCCATTTAAATTTAAATGAAGCCGCAATTATTTAAATCGCGGCTTCATTTCCCTTTGCCGAACAAACAAATCTACATGGCTCCGTCAACGGAGCCATGTAGTTTAGACGTACCCAAAGTGTATTGGAGCAGCTTCTTCTAACATTTTCCTCACTCACAGATAACGGTGAAAGAAGACTATAGTGAAACAGCTGAGGGTGGAGATAAAATAAGTGAACTAATGCAGTATAGGACTCATTCACACTTATTTTGTAAAGAAAATAATTCTCTTACAATTGCATTGATCATACAAATGTAGGGAACTTGAAAATATACAGTAGAAAAGCTAAAATGATAGACAGGAAGACATACAGAGGCTCAGATGGTGCTCAGGGGTTAGAATAATTTAATTCTCAGGTCTTTAGCATCAGTTCCTATATCAGAAACTATATAAAAAAGTGCAACACGAAATACCTACTTGGGGGAAAAAAGAATGATTGTGGATAAAATTGTACAGTGTGAAGCACAATGAGGCCTCTAGATCCATGGTGTCCAACACGCTAGCCACTAGCAACATGTGGCTATTTGGCTGATTGAGTATGGCAAGTTGGCTTGACCCATGTAACTATTTGGCCAGTTGAATGTGGCAAGTTTGCTATAGCAGTAGCTATAATGGGTGCTGCTCCAGAACTGGCTGGACATCACAGTCTAGATGCTACAAATTATCCAAAACCTACAGCTTCATGTAAAGTAGAATGTGAGAAAGGCACAAGGTACTCCATTAGCATAGTACTTCTGCCTTCTATTTCTGATTTTATTTCTGATTCTCGTGCCTTGCTGGATAAGTCATTTAACTCTATGGTTTAACTTAACCAGCTGCAAAATGGATTTTACTGCTAAACCTAAATATTAAAAAATGAGAATTATTTGGAAATCATTGTCAAGACAAATTCAGGGTTCTTTTCATTTATCTGTTCGTTTTTGAGCTGTTAAGAGTTCAGTGGGGTCACATTTTCATGCTTTTTGTCACAACCATGAAGGCTAGAATAATGTTTTTAAATGAAAGCTCAGATTCTCATGTATGATTTGACTCTAGCAGCTGAGATTAAGAAAAAACACCAATTATCATGAGATGTGAAAGAACACAGAGTCA